AGACATTATAAAGATTTTGCATGTGAAATTTCAAAATTTTCTGATGCATAAAAGTATTTTTAATCTTAGAATGAAAATTACTTTGCATGATAGACAGGCAAGATGTGAAATGACAAAAAAAGGCATGAGAGAAACATTGCTTTACAAACCTCATGACTTAATAAAAAAAATTAGATATTTTGCATATGAAAGCATTGTAATGTTTACTGATAATCTGCCAAATTTCGTTAATGTTCGCTCACTAATTTAAAAGTTATAGCATGAAAACTATAAAATGGTTACGAGGTCGTCACATTGACTGACCCTGTATTGAAAGGGTTAAATATTGGACTAACATTAGCCAACGTCCAATGTTCTAATACTCTTCCACTACTCAATGACCTTAAAAAAATATTAGCTCGAGGTTCACAAATAAAGTTCCTTTAAAACTCTGGAATAAAAGTTGTCTGGGTCCAGGGGATTTATCAATTTTTAGGTTGCCCCTTTTTTTTCTGTAGGGAATATGTATGTTCTGTATGCATATAAATTTTTCCCTAAATACTTCCTACATTGTTTAAGATTCTCTCCCAACTCTTTAGCCCAATCTACATAAGCTAGATCATGTTTCATTCCATCAAAATTGGTTTTCCTGAAATTTGGAATCAGGGTACTATTCTTTCTCAGTTCTTCATATAGTAAAATCACAAACGTAATAGTGCAATGGTCGCTTGTACTTAAATGCTCACTCATTCTGATTTCATTATAGTTTCTCATTAACTTCCACATTCTGACCTGTGGTGTATAACATATCCCAAGTAAAAGACTTTTACCTTTATATCCATTAATATCAACCCAAACTGACCTAACCTCAGTGCTATTTTCTTTAATATGCTCTAACTCAACAGGATGCAATTCACTCCTCACATATAAAGCTACTCCTCCCTCCTTTTTTTCAATACTCAATCTCTAGTAAATAACCTATAGCCTGGTATTTAAAAAAAATTTCTCATCAAAATTGTTCAAATCCAACTAAGTCTCAATGACACCCATAATATCAAAATCCTCAGTTAACACAACTGCTTTGAATTCATCAATTTTATTTCTAATACTCTTAGCATTACAATTCAAGTATTTATTTAGGCTGATAAGACCTAATGAAAACATGGTTTAACAAACAGCAGCCTTGTGGATAAAATGAAACTTGATATGGTCAATTACAAAATTATCTAGCTAAGCCTACCTCCTCATGTTAAATGAAAAACATTTCTTTTTCCTATCATACTGTAATATCATAATTTAAATGAAGTATAAAATGATAAATTTTAAAAACTCAGGGCTGTAACTGGGATGGAAGTTATTCACAAACACCTTTTCTTCTAGTAACATATTACCAAGCTAAGCTTTTATGACTTTGTCCTGATCTCTAATCAACTTTTGTAAATAAGTATTTTTACTGAACAAATTGTGTGTATGGAAGGTCACGTTTATTTTCTATAATTATTTATGTTTAATGGTGCAAATTTTCCCATGGGGTATAATGCACTGATCAGGACACCACAGAGTTAAAGTGGGAATTCAGAAGTGGGGTACGCTCACTTATAAAATGGTGATAGTGTTTCTTATTGTTTGGAATTCTTAATCAAGATGCACAAGAAGAGGGGGGTATTCAAAATTCCAAATTAGAGAAGTGGGGTACGTGTACCTCTGCATTACTCTCCACTTCAGGCACTGTATGTATGTATGTACATATAACAAAGAAAAACAAAAAACTCACCACCAGACAGAGGTCACAGCTGTCTAACTCTTTCTGTGCATTCATCAACACATCGGGGTCTAGGGATTCTCCAAACCATACCACATGGGGACGTAATAAACCTGTGCACTTCTTACACCTGTGACAAAAAAGATCTATCTATAACTAAATATATTAAAAAATTAGCCTTCATGGAATAAATATCCGAGCTGATGCAGTCCATAAAATATTTAACACCAATACCATTTTAAAACAGAACATAAACAGTTGCACAATAAATCATTTTCATAAAAACAACTTTCAGAAAATACTTAATAAGGAAAAAGATGAAAACCAAATAACTTGAATTAATAGCCACAATTTTGTTTTTCAAATTAAAAGTAATAAACTATTTTTGTAGTAGTTTAAAGGTATATTTGTTACAAATAGCCCTTATAAACATGTTATTTCCTTGTTAATTTAGTTTCAAATATAAACATAAAAGCCAAAAAGTCTTTCCATCTGAAAAATTTATCTGGACAGTTTTTCACTTTACAAATCTCATAGCCCTGAATATATCAAACTTTCATGAAGAAAGTATGGCTGATACACCTGACAAGCCGTAAATGGCTGTTTTACAAAATTAACGATAGGCAAGTGGTGAGAGTGCCCATATTTGGGATCACAGGTTCGGGGGTTCGAATCCTGGTAATTCCACAGAAAGCTTTCTGATTGTGACACATACAAAATGTCTGACGAGGGCCATAGAATTCACTGGTCGACACATTGTGAAAATAATATTCCAAATAATTATACCATTAGTAATACCAACACCTCATCTCAATCATTATGCAAAACTATATTATTTAAATCAGTTTATTTCATATACCAAAAGTAAGATGCTACTTAGCCCATTTAGTGGGTACAATCAGCATTTTGTTTTTAATGAAATATAAGTTTCAGTATTCTGTTTTATACTGTAAATTGTATAATAATTGTGGTTAAATCTCTAAATTACACCAAAGTTTATACATACATCAGTCTTATACCAAATTGTTGTTTATGAAAGTTATTCATGTATTTTCTATTTAAATTTGTTTTAACTGTTTATTTGCCTACTTATATTCATAAGTTATCAATAATTCCTATTAAACTGCTGTAATAAAGATTTAAGGCATTACAATGCACTTCTTTTTTTGAGGGATGAATTTGGTAGTGTTTGTCATCTTGAGTGTTTTTTTTTTTTCATGGATCTTTCTTGCCTATAGTTTTGTTGAAATGACTATGTTTTGAACCCTCTGCCAAGTACTTAAGAAATGCTCTGAAAATGGTTTGCAATGTTTTCATATCAACAAAACTTTAGGCAGACGAAGATCCATGAAGGAAAACCTCTTCACTGTTATAATGTAAATCTGATGTCAACTGAATTCACCTTAATCAGTAAAAAAAACTCTTTGTGTCAATTCATTAGATTATGAAAACAAAATATTTAAGCTCTCTACTTTGAGTATTTTTCAATTGCTAAAGAACTATGAAGGAATTAAAAAATATGAAATAATTTATGAGTAACAATCACTCACCTTGGTAGTTCTCCTTCTACAACTCTGGCATCTTCAGCATCAGGATCTGGAGACCTGAACATCAACAAAATATCTAATATGTAATAAAAAAGTTATTTTTGTCCAAAAGTAAATCCTGAATAAAATTTCTGCAAGGTGAAACACAACAAAGAAAATAATATTATTGGAAAGTCTGTAATTTAAATATTTTACATGAAAAACCAAGCAAAAACAAAATAAAATGTAACATTGTTAGTAGTTTAAATTCTTGGAGAGAGAGAGAGAAAAAAGTATATATGTTTACAATTGCTTAATTAGACCTAGCTTCTAATAAGAAATATGTAATAAAGTTTAGTAATCTAATAAAAGAAACAAACTTATTGTAATTTTCTCCAAATGTCCTCAAATGCTTAACTAGACCTAGATTCTAAAATATGTTATAAAGTTTACTATTCTACCAATAAGAGGATGTAAACTAATTGTAATTTTCCTTAAATGCTCTTAAGTACTTTGCTATTTTGTCTTAGCTTCATAAGTAAAGAGGTATATTGTACTATAGCTCTAGACTGATTTAAATAAGTTTGCTCCAATTACTACATGCTAAAAGCATAGAAACAAAATATGAATAAGCTTTTTACGTCTGACATTGGAAAATAAAAAGCCACTTCATAGCATAGTGTTAACTATTTGTTTCAATATCTAAACAAGTGTAAAAAAAAATTTTTTTTTGACACATTCATGTTTTGAGGACAAAACTACACCACTAAATTAAAAAAATAAAGAAAGCAATCTTATACTTATTTTTGTGCACATTATAAAAACTTCAAAACTGAAATTTATTTAATTTTAAAGATAAAAATAAAATTAAGAAATTGTGTATTTTTATTTTGGGTTGATTTCAGCATACTCCCAATAAAATCAGTAGTGTTTATGAATTTTCTGATCATAATACAACACTCATGGCTTCTACGAAAAAACTTCATAAAAAATTTGAACAAAATAACACTAATCTATCCTTTTGACTTAATAAATATAACTGTGTTGAATTTTAGCCAATTGCCGTTTCTCAACTTCAGCTGTCATGCTGTGATCTAAATGCCTGTATCTCTACTTTGAGAAGTCACTAAAATATTATACACCCCCCCCCTATAAAAAAAAAGAAAAGTTATTTTTGGCCAAAATAAAAGTAAATCCTGAGTTTAAACAAGAAATAAAACTACTACAAGGTGAAACACAACTAAGAAAAAATCATACTATTTTTCTATTCATTTAAACTGTACAAGCCAAATGAGGCTTTCAGTTCAGCAGGAATTCAAAGTAATAAAATCTAGCTTGTTGATGCATTGCTAGAATAAAACGTTTGCTACAGTTACAGTACTGATTTTTTTTTTAATTTTGCAAAAAGCATGCATGTTTTATTTATTTGAAGTACGATAGGAAATTTTCTGTTGATCAAGATGAAATAGGCTTAGCTGAACCATTTTGCACTCAATAGTATCAAGTTTCATTTTACCAATAAAACCACTGCATTAGGTCTTATGTACACCAGGCCATATTGGCCCAAGCAACCGTTTGAATGGGCAAAGAAAAGAAAAATAAATGTAAAATATATATATATATATATTTTTTAAAAGAGTAAAAAATGGGTTTGAAATATATTACACATATTAAATGAAATGTTTTGATTGAAATTTAGATAAAAAAAGCAGATTTGCTTATAATTTTGGTACAGTAAAAGTTATTTTTATTGATGCTAGTGATTATAAACTAAAGGGTTTATAGGAAAGTTTTAAAAGAATGTGGGAAAATAAAAAATCAGTAATTAAAATATAAAACAAAATAAGCATTTTTAGTTGTTTCTTAAAAAATTCTAACACAAAGAAATCCTTTTGAAAAACTGGGAATTCATACAAATATCATGCATAAAATATTTTATTTGCAAAAGCTACATAATCTGTAGAAAGTAATTCTGAAGATTAAACCTATCTCATCCAGTAGTCCCCCCCCCCCCAATGCAATAAAACAAACCATACAACAGGTGTGTTAAACCAATGTACCTGGGCTGTATAAAGTTAAGAACATGAAGTATGTAAAGAAGTTAGTTTTTTTTTGTGTGGTGGGTGGGGGTGGGGGAATTTGTTGTATGTAACAGAAGAAACTTACCCTTTTCCTGCCAGAGCAGGACAAATAGGAGAATCTCTGTTTTCATTTATGCTGCCACATTTTGTGCAACGAGTCTTGAACAAGGTACCTATTAAACAAGCACAAAATATGACCACTCTCAAGCAGCATATGTCCAGCTGAATGGAAGTTAATATATTTTATAAGAACCTTGAAAAGGTTACCAACATGTAATATGTATACAAATACCTTCCTCTATACAAGTCTTGAAAAGGGCACACTTTCAGTAAACAATTCTGCAAAATGTGTCACACGTCTTAAAAAAAAAAAGGCCTAAAGCCAGCAGTTTGTATGTGCAAAACACCTTTAGATACTCTATGGGGATGTTTCATTAGTGTTGAGAGTGAGGGAACAGATATGAAACGTATTGTTCATTTATTATAGCACAAATAATCCAAGGTTTTAACAGATATTTTCTTGCACAAAAATGTAATAAAAGGTTGTTAATGTCGTTATTCTGTAAACAGTGAGTGTTTTATTTCATTTAGAAATATTTCTGTAACATATCTATTGGTAGGTATAATAGTTTTATTACTTTTGTTTCTCCTTCCTCAATCAATATATACTGATAGAATCAATTTTATGTAGTTAACAATACATTTTAATAATCTTTGCTAAAGAAAAAGAAACAAAATTTTGAAATTACATTAACAGAAATCAGTTAGATAAACATATCGACATATACTTTTAAAAACAATAACTTTTCTTGTGTTGTCAATAATATCATACAAAGCAACTAAAAATGTACAGAAGGGTTTTCTTAATACAAGTTAACTAATCAATCAGTGATGCTTAAATTACTATAAAAACAGTTAACCATAAAGATAGCCTAAGCATTATCTCACACATATATTATCTATGTAACGTTGTGTTTCATATTTTCTAAGCTTACCATGAAGTTCATATAGGTTCTTTGTGCCAGCATCTTTATGCAGTTCATCTATGTTCTGTGTGATGACAACTAATCGACGATCATCATCAGCCAGCCGCTTCTCAGCCTCAGCAAGAGCGATGTGAGCCTAACCAAAACAACTCATCAATGAAACAATACCACTGCCATATAAACTATAGTTTCATCTGTTAAAAAATCATTTTTAACCTGTGCATGTGCAGGGCTTTCAAAAAGGTCTAGGTTTGATAAAGAAGAAACCGTAGGGCTTTGGTTATAAAAAGAAAACAAAAAAGAATTATGGTACTAAGATTTATATTTGTTCTTAGTGCCAGCACTTTTGTTTAGTTCATTTATGTTCAGTGTGATGATGACTAGTTGACAACCATCATCAGGCAAGGACAATGAGAGCCTGGTAAAAATCAACTTACCATGAAAAAAATAAAACTTTTATTATTCAATCTAAAAAAAGGGACTGTAAAAAAATGTTTGAGCTTGATAAAAAATAGAGCAGTATGTCTTTGGTTCTAGACAAACTAAAAAGGGATTATGTTTGTAAGATTTGTATTTATCCCTTTTCTAAGAGTGCACTTAAGGATCTTATTCTTGATAGATGTTTATGTCAGACCTAAAAAAATTACTAGTAACAAAGACATTTATTCTCAGTGTCTAATAAATACAGATGAAGAGCAAGTTGTAGAAAACTAGACACTTCCTGCTTATTGCAATATCTTATATTCAGTAGATAAAGTATTATTTTTTCTGAACTTTTCTCAGATAGCATCTTCAGAAAGTCTTTGTGGTCCAGATAAAGAAACTAATTATGTTTATCCCAAAGAAAAGTACGACAGACTTAAAAGTTCCTTTTCTTTCATAAGAACTTAAAAATTTTGCAATTTAATGAAATATATGATATAAAAGTATGACAATACATATCTTATTTGGTAGATAAATACATTGACCTGGTATTACGCATATAATAGCCTTCTGCAAAAAAGTATCAAACATAACTAATGTTTTTTTACAAAAAGCTAAACACCACTGTGTGATAAGTTTCTTGCTCAGTAGTGTGTCCTCAATACATTTGTTGGTGGACAGACTGTTCAACAGTTCTCCCTTGTTTACTTCTGTGTCATCAGTACATCTACTGATTAAGTAGACGGTGTGGCAGTTCTCCCTTGTTTAGTATTGTGCCATCAGTACATCTACTGGCAGGTATACAGTGTGACATTTATCATTGTTTAGTGCTGTGTCCTCAATACATCTACTGCCAGGTATACAGTGTGACATTTCTCATTGTTTAGTGCTGTGTCCTCAATACATCTACTGCCAGGTATACAGTGTGACATTTCTCATTGTTTAGTACTGTGTCCTCAATACATCTACTGCCAGGTATACAGTGTGACATTTCTCATTGTTTAGTACTGTGTCCTC